AAAAAAAAAAAAAAAAAAAGGAAAGAAAGAAAAGAAAAAGAAAGTAAGAAATCATGCTCCTATATGTGAGAGTTTATAGAGAGTGAGAGTTTATATCTGGGCCTCTGTTCTATTTCATTGGTTTATATGTCTGCCTTTATGCCAGTACCATTCTAGTTTGATGACTGTAGCTTTGTAGTAAGTTTTAAAATCAGGAAGTATAAGTCCTCCAGCTTTGTTCCTTGTTCATATTTCAACTTTTGTGATAATAATTTCCTTGCTTTTTAAAATATTTTTATCACCAGTGTGTACAAATATACGTTAATTTTGCCAGTGTTTAAGCTTTACAGAAGTGAAGTCATGCTGCATGAATTCAGGTGTGAATTCACTATTACATTTGGAGATTTATTTTCTTTGTATACTATCTCAATGTACGTCTATATCATAGTTTATCTGTTCTACCACTGAGGATAATTTGTGGATCAGATAGGACTTAGTCAAGAAAACAGAAACCACATTATGTATTTCAAATAGAGGCCAGTTGCAGTGGCTGGCGGGGTGTGGTGGCTCACACCTGTAGTCCCAGTGTTTTGAGAGGCCGAGGCAGGTAGATCATCTGAGGTCAGGAGTTCAAGACCAGCCTGACCAATGTAGTGAAACCCCATCTCTACTAAGAATACAAAAATTAGGGCATGGTGCAGTGACTCATGCCTGTAATACCAGCAATTTGGGAGGCCCAAGAGGGTGGATCACCTGAGGTCAGAAGTTCAAGACCAGCGTGGCCAACATGGTGTAACCCCGTCTCTACTAAAAAAATACAAAAATTAGCTGGGCATGGTTGTGTGCACCTGTAATCCCAGGTACTCGGGGAGGCTGAGGCAGGAGAATTATTTAAACCCAGGAGACGGAGGCTGCAGTGAGCCGAGATCACACCACGGCACTCCAGCCTGGGCAACAGAGCAAGAATCCATCTCAAAAAAAAAACTAAAAAAACAAACAAACAAAATAACAAAGGAAGGAAATTTCACACGGGAACTTGGTTACACAGGAGTTGGAGGACTAAAAGAGGAAAAAGGGAAAGAGAACCCTGAGACAAGGCAGAACTAGTAACCACAAGAAGCAAGGAGGGCTGAGGGACAAAAGGGAAGAGCTGGGATTACCTTGACTTGTGAGCCGGGAGGTGGGGCCCTGCAGAGCTGAGGCTCAGACTCGGTGAAGCGCCACCGGGAATGCTGCTCATTCCTCTGAAGAGCCATCTTCAAGGCAGGTTCTTTGAATGCAGAAAAAAGCTGAAGGCTGGAGCCAACTTCTAATGATAGAGTGACTCTGAACAAATCCAAAAATAATGGGAAGCTATTCCCTTCTCCCTTCTTCTGGCTTCCCAGTCTCCATCAAGTGCCCCTATGAGCAGAACCTAACAGAAGGACAGCAATGGAGTTTAGGAGTTTGCAGAGTCCCAGCCCCCTTCCAACATCAGACAGCAGAGAAAACAAGAGTGAATTTGAAGCTGAAAGTCAATACGCAAATAAATGGCAGAGCCTACCACTTTTTTCTACTCAGCAGTTACACGTCTTTCTATCATATTTGAATAACAGCTTCATGCCCTTGCCTAATAGATGCAATCGTCCTTTGCTCAAAAGAAGACGCTCGGGGCCCCTCCCCCAAAAGCGGAGATGCAAAGTCTCTACAGCAATGGGATTCCTCTCTGATGCTGGAAGTGGGCTAGGACTCTGCAAACCAGCTTCCTAAACTCCACTGCGACATTCCGTCTCAAAAAAAACAAAAAACAAAAAACAAACAAACAAAAAAGATGGAGTTTCGATATTCTGGTTTCTCTTCAAATAGTATAAATCTATCACCTTTTACTAAAGATGGAGTTTCGCTCTTGTT